CATGTGGTTTATCGAGAGATGCCTTTTTAACTCCAAATAGTTAGATTCACTTTTGCACTTCGTAAGAATATGTGTGAAGTTAAACCAAGACCGATGTAGATCCATAATATAATGTTAGAAAAACAATAGTTTATCGTTATTATGTTTCATATTTTATTGGAATATATAGATTAATTTTGAATGTATTAATGTTATTGTAGTGTCATACCCGGATTCAAATTCGGTAATATACTATATTAGTTGTTGACAGGAAAAAAAATCCGTAGTAATCTCACGTTTAACAATTTCTGTGTATCTTATAATCATGGTTTTTAAAAGATGGTATACTTTTTTTTTTTACTTTGTTTCAAAAGATACCATTTAAGGGAATAGGTAAAGAAAGACAGAAATATAAAAGAGAGTGATCAAATGGAGTATAGAACCTAATTATTCTTGTCATTAAGTAGAAATTCACCAATTACAATACTATTAGTTTACGATTCACTAAAATTTATTTACTTATTTGGGGGTGTTGAGTGACACCATTACCTCTTTAATGGGTTTGTCATTGACCAAGACTATAGTAATTATTAGTATATTTATATGAACTCGGGTAAAATATCTTACAGTCAAGATCGAAGTCTACGATCTTCAAGAATAGATTTTGTAAGACTATAGTAATTATTAGTATTATTATATGAACTTGGGTAAAATAACTTACAGTCAAAGATCGAAGTCTACGATCTTCAAGAATAGATTTTGTAGGACTACAAAGATTGAACTATGCTACTGATACATATCAAAGTAGTTTCTTAATCTGAGAAAAGCAAGCTGCACAATTTTTATTATTTATAATTCAGCTAATGATTTAGATGGTGTAGGTAAGACAAAATAAGCTAAAGAAATATGTGTAAGGTAGGCGGTGTGATCGGTGTAGGAAAAACCGGACCACATGCGGAAGATGTGTTTGGTTGTAAATGGTGTGGTTTTTTAAATTTCAACATTCCTTTCACGAAGATACAATTAAAGATTCAAAAATATCAAGAAACTTTTTTTTCCTCCAACAACAACAATAAGTATATTCAGAGAATTAAGGAATAACAACTATGAAAATAAGGGCTTTCGTTCGTAAAATTTGTGAAAAGTGTCGACTAATCCGTAGNAGGGGGCGAATTATAGTAATTTGTTCCAACCCGAGACATAAACCGGATTAGTATAATACGCTAAAATTACTCAATATCAATTCAATACATGTTTTTCTGTTTTGGTTATTTGACTAATTCACTCTAACATCTTTATCAAAGATCGTTGAAAAATCACACTTTTACATTTTCTCTTTGCGAAATAGTTTTCTTATTTTTGTTTGATAGACGATTCTTTAGTTTAGGATCATCTCAAAACTATTTGTAGGTCTTGTTAATATGATAAAATAGTTTTTAAAAAAATATAAATTATAGGCCCTTCAATAAGATTTCATGATTGAACAAAAATCCATTTATTTATTTATTTCATGAATTATGAACCGAAGAGGGACACGTTATAAACATATTTTAAACTTAGAAAAAATTAGTTTATTTAAACAATGATTTTCTGATTGTAACCACCTTTTCGGAAGCTTTCTTTTGAAAACATATTTTATATATTTTGAAACTTTCACATGTTTTCACATAATAATAACACAATAAATATTATCCATTAAAAAATCAACCTTGATTTTCTTTCTATATCTAAATTTTGTGAAATCTAATCATAATCGTGATAATCCTTATCACATAATGGTAACAACTGATTTAGATCTTGCCATAACTCATACCACGGACGAGTTTATACATTTGCGTCGGAACCGCTTTATTGTGTAAATTAAATAAAAAAATTCACTATACAATTCTGCCCGAGATAAAGCTGAGCTGTCAAATAAGACTAATACTTATCTATTTTTTTTCCTTTATGAATAACTCGGATTGGTTGGTATTTCATTTTTTTAATTATAATATAATTTAGGGAAAATTTACCAAAAATACAAAAAAAAATTATAATTTGAAAACTAACAAAAAATTCTAAATCCAATAGCATACAATTTACCATATACCTTATTTTTTTAACTTTTTAATTTTTTTTTTTGATTATTCGCCAAAAAAGCCATATAATTTATCAGCTGTGCTTATTTCGTTTTTTTTTTATATATATATAATGTTCGTGGGGCAGTCTACACGCGCTTTGGTTTGCTGTTTCTGAACACATTGGTAAATGGGGTTTTCAAACTTTCAACAAAGATTGGAAAAGAAAAGAAACAACTCATTATTTTTTGTAATTTAGTTATAATAAAAAAGATATACATCTTCTATATATTAATAGAAGAGACACTAAATAAAAATTTTATGTATCATCTAAAAAGAATTTTAAGGAATTGTAATGAAAGTTATTTAAACTTTTTTAATTAAATGAACTATTATGTAAATAATTAAAAGAGCCCAACAATATTATAAATCTAATTACTCACTAAATTTATATCATATATATAATATATAATTATTAAATGAATATGGAAGCAAAGAATACACGGTAGTTAATATAGAAAATTTTATTTAAATAATATAAAGTATATGTGAGAACATCTTGCTTTTTTTCAATGACTACTAGATTTTTGACATATATTAAACAAGAGATTATAATATTCAAAAATAAAAATTCATGTTTTTTTAATATAAAAACATATATTTTTCGTTTGTTACACTGACAAAATTATTTGATTTATCGCATAGTCTATAATTTACAC